AGGAACTGGGGAGGAAACAGGAGCTCACCCTACTAACGCGAAGGCTGGACTCAAACCGCTGAAGCATTGACCATTTCTGGCCAGCAACTTTCAGCGTCATTAAGCCACCTAATTCCCAAAAACTGTGTGGTTTAAAATGAAAAAATAAGAAAAATGCAAAAAACAAAATAAGCGTAGAAAATGTAGACAGTCTGAAGAGAAATGTACACTATACATTTAAAAAAAAAATCCAACAGGGGCTCAAACTTCATCCGGCCCAAAAGGTCATGGTGCCCCACTACCATCTAAGTTCTATTGTTAGCAGTTTGCAAAGTTCTTTGCAGGTAAAACTGCATAGATTTTTGCTAGGTTTACTGCCACTTTGTGCAGTATTATACCTAGGGTATTTAAGATTTCATTTGATAACATCTGCCTGAATAGTTTCATTGTTATTTCTTGAAGAAATAGGAATGATCCTTGATTTGGTTTGTGCTACTACCAGCCTGTTAGATCACTTCCTGACTTAGCTTATAAAGGCCTTCAAGCAATCACTTCTTTCAATATTTACTGAGATAATTAACATCTTTTTGCAGCAAGTACATTCCTTCCCACATGAAAGATCACAGGTTTAAGGAGTTGTCTCTGGATGCCTATAGACCAGTATCTGTGTGCAGCTCTAGGAACTCTTAAAATAAATGGATTATCAATTTTGGCATAGAGGCAGCCTTGGTTGTCCTAATGGACAATCTGCACCAGTATAAAGATAAGGAATGTACTATTCTGTTGATACTCCTGGCTCTCTTACCAGTTTTTTACCATATTTTTTTTAGCATGTTTGAAGGAGCTGAAAGTAGGAAACACTCCTCTTTGGTAATTTCTGTCTAACTTCTTGGTGTTGTCAGGAGGTGCTATTGGAGATACTTGATACTTTTGGAAATTGTCCTGTGGCAGGTCCTTCAACGTTTCATCGTGTCTTCCATGTTATTTAATAAGTATATAAAGCTGCTTCAAAGGCTCATATGTAGATTTGGTGCCAGCTGATATCGGTATGTTGATTGTTCTTCTTCCCTGCAATTTGGGGTTGGATGTTTCAAGAGTTCAATGTGCCCATATGGTAAGGGACTGGATATGGAGAACAACCTGAACCTGAAGTCAGACAAGATGGAGTTGGTGCTGATTCCTGGAGCTAGGCTTCAGATTTTGAGTGTTTTATGAGTAACTAAAGATGCCAGCATTCATTTACACTGACTCCATTGTTATTTGATTTATCTTTTTTCTCTTTCCTGTTGCATTTGTATGGACCTCTTTTGGGCATTGTTTTAATGCTAGCCAAATCCTTGGCAAACTAGAAAAGTTCCCAGTGTCCCTCCTACTTTCTGACTCGAACACGTGTAAATATTTTCTGCAGCTTTTGCATTTTATTCTGATAGTCAATTTATTTGCTGTTTTTCTTTCTTTCTTTGTGTATGTTTAAGATAATCAGAAAGGCCATTTTTTTAAAGAGATGCTTCCAATCTGTAATGGTTTTCCATCTCCCAAACAATATCTTTAATGACTGCTTTTCTGTTTTCCTAATGCTAAGCAGCTGGAAGCAGAATCAAGACAAGGCAGTGGGCTGTAATCACTTTGTGACCCTGTGGAACTCAAAGTGGCCTGTAATCACTTTGTGTTCCACAAGGAAGTCTTTACAGACAACTTTGTTCTTTTTTCTTAACAGGATTAAGAAGTCCCATCCTTTGCATTTCTTGCATACAGTGATGAGTTTTCCAGGGTGTGCTTAGCCCAAAGAGTTCAAAGTGAAGGGAAAAAAAGAAACCCTCCCAAAAAGCCAATATGACTTTGTTTTTTACCTTGCTGGAGGAACCGTTTGTGCAAATCGTCTATAAGCTTATTGACCTGCATCTTTGACTCCTTGTTTTCTCTGGATTTGACTGGAGTGTAGACACTGATAGAGCCGTGATAGAGGTGATTGAACAGCCCCCAGCTTTGCTTGGCATCAAGCCCCACAACCCCCCCAGGACTGACATTATCATTCTCTGAAAATACTTCATGTTTTCTCAAGCTAGCACGTTCTTATTTTTTAATTTATTTTTAATTCTTCCTGGAGCCTTTATGTAGGAGTTTTCAAGGAAATGAAGGGCACAGTAATTCTTGGTAAACAGAGATAGTGTATAATGTATGATGAGAGGTGTCTCGTAAAATAATAGGATAAAAAGGCAAAGTTACTGTTTATAATTTGTGAAAAATGGTTTTAAAAATCGGCACTATCAAACTAATGTGTTTTATATATAAAAGTTAAGGAATTTTGTCTTGCAAGATAGATTTGTGGTATGAATTTATTTAATCCAAGAATGTTCTAATTATATAGTCAAGTATGGGCATTTTCTCTCTCTCTCTTTGTATTCCTCTGTAGTTTTCTCTAAAGCTTGAGCTTGCTTTTTCAGAATAAGTAGTTGCTGCATGAGTAAAACGCAAAACAAAACAGAAGAAATATTTTTCTGCAATTGTGGTTGTCCTTGAATATGAATAGTTTTCTTTAAGACCAGATACTGCCATTTGTTTTCAACAAGCATTTGAAATCCATAAGAATCTGCTTCTGATTTTGCCAGAAGCTGACGGGGGTGGCTAAAATTGGAATACAAGCACACACAGTG